TTTCTTTCTTTCTTTCTTTCTTTCTTTCTTTCTTTCTTTCTTTCTTTCTTTCTTTCTTTCTTTTCAAGACAGGGTTTCTCTGTGTAGCCCTGCCTGTCTTGGAACTCACTCTGTAGACCAGGCTGGCCTCGAACTCAGAAATCCGCCTGCCTCTGCCTCCCAAGTGCTGGGATTAAAGGCGTGCACCACCACTGCCTGGCTAAAGGGTCGTTAACATCTTATGTGTAAGCTTGCATCACTCCTGAATTGCTACCCCACGGTCTGTCTTTAGTGACTCAAAACCTCCTGAAGAGTGGAAGCACCATTGAGACCTCTCTTAACAGTGTACCTGCACAGATGGAGTGTTTAATAAATAGTCCCTGAATGAATGATCAGAAGAAGGGAGACCTGAAGGACAGACCTTCAGCGACAGAGGGGGCAGTGCTGGCCGATTTCTTCTTGAGTGCAAAGCCTCTAGGCAGTGTGATTGCTAGATTGAGACCTAGCTGGAGAGCCGAGCAGATGGACTGGGAGGTTAATCCCTCCAGTTTTAGTGAATTGTCAGATTTCCCACAGTACTCTGTTCTTGCTTCAAGAAATTTGCATCTCCCCACCCCCACCTTCCATTACCTGGTACAAAGTCCAAATCTCTCACACCTCCACTTGGGCACTTCCAAGAGAAAAGTCTCTCATACATCTGTCCAGTGTTCCATCCCAGAATAATTCAATTTAACCTTTTTTTTTTTTGCATTTACTGCTCTGCTATAGAATGGGTTGTTCATTTGCAAGATGGCCCCACTTCAGAGGGTAAACTGCTTGAAGCTGGGGGTTGGGGGTGTCTAATCCAGTTCATCATTGTATACTCCCAGCACACTATAAATATTTAATGAATGAATGATCGCAGATTTATGAAGTCGAATCCATAAAACTCAATGGTCAATTGGATACGAAGGAGGTAAGGGAAGGAGGAGTCTTGGGAGATTTCCAGGTTTTCTAGCATAAAAAGCTGAGTGTGGGATAGCTCCACTGGCCAGATGGGGCGAGGAAGAGGATATGTTTGAGGAAAATGGCCAAATGATGACTTGTATCTAAGACAATAAAGTCCATAAGCCAGAACTGGAATCCTGATTATCCAGGAGTGTAGATAGTAGATGGTAGTGTTCCCTGCAAATGGCAGAGGTAGCTCTGAAGCACATGTAACAGCTTGTCACATGAACCAACAGAAAATTCCACTCCATGCTCTAACTGAGGTGAGGTGGATTCCTTTTTTTTTTCTTTTTTCCTATTCAGGTCGATCCCTGTGTCATGGGTCACACTCTTTCTCTACCCTCCTCTATAAAATCTAAAAATGATACTTATACAGCTCTACACCATATATTATATACATATAAAGTCTGATCTCTCTCATCTCTCTCCTCTCTCTCTCTCTCTCTCTCTCTCTCTCTCTCTCTCTCTCTCTCTCTCTCTCTCTCTCTGTATAATTCTGATAATGGCAGCAGTTCTTGCAACCCTCTTGGTTAGGATCCACTAGAGAGGTCTCCATATCTGGGGGTTCACCCTTTGCCTTCTTGGGTGAAAAAATTAAATGACTGAGTGAACATCTATTTCTCTGTGAGGCTCAGTCTCATGATTGTTCGTGTACATGATGCATGCGTGCGTGTGTGCATCTCTCTCTCTCTCTCTCTCTCTCTCTCTCTCTCTCTCTGTGTGTGTGTGTGTGTATGTGTGTGTGTGTGATCTTGGACAAGTAATTAGTCTGTCACAGAAATCCTGGAAATGTAAAATGTGTCAAAGTGCTCCCAACATGACAATCTGAATATTTTGGTCCAGCCCTAGGCCTATCAGCCAGAATTTTGTTTTGTTTTGCTTTAGTTTTGTTTCGTGATGGTCTTGCTGTGTTGCCTAGGCTGCTTTGGAACTTTTGACCTCAACAGATCATCTTGCCTCAGTTTCCCCAGTAGCTGTGGCTGCAGATCTGGCTCTGCATGCTTGTTGTCTCCTCATCAGTTTTGGTGATCTTGTGTTTGCTCTTCCTATGGCATAGAATGGACCTCCCACTAGTGTGAGGGCAGTGGTGAAACTTAATTAGGCTGATACAGTAGCATTCACTTAGGGATACATTTGGAACAACTGGGGAATATCAGTGATACACTGTTGCCAGGCATTGTAATTTTGTTTCCAAGGCTTCTAGTTGACTACAAGACAAAGGCAAGGCTGAGAAACACAGGTGCAAACTGATCCTGGAATCCCCTTTCCTCTTGCAGTCACTGAGTTAGGTATAACCATATGATCTGTTCTTGGCCAATAAGTTTCTGTAGAGTCAGCGCTAGTTAAAGAGGCTATTTCTGGAGCTGGACGCCAGAAAACTTAGATGAGGTTTAAAGTCACCTCTTTCTCTCAGGCATCTTGATATGGGAGAGTTCACCATGGTCACTGACTCTCTGAGTATGAGATAGCCTGTAGGCTTCTTGCTTTGTGGCATAATAAACCCTGGTGCAGCTAAAAACTTCCTGACCACAACTCTTCTGCAGTTTTAGAGTCACATTCTTTACATTTAGCATATCTGCACTGCCTATAATGTTAATGTGAGGCAGGTCTTCAATAATACGATATGTGCTTTTTCGTGGCTTTGCAGACAAAATTGATGGAGTGGAATGAAGAGGAAAGCTAATGACCCATTTATGTTGTGCTTTCAATAGGAATGCCCATTTTATTCTGAAAACAAATTTCTGGAGGCTGAGGATTTAACTCAGATGGTAAAATGTTTGCATAGCCTGTGGAAAACCCTGGGCTTTACCTCAGCACTGTATAAACCAGGCATGGTGGCTCATACATGTAAGCCCAGCATCTGAGAGGTGTGGAAGCAAGAAGATCAATTCAACATCATCCTTGGCTACATAACAGATTAGATATCAGCCTGGACTACATGACATGAGCAGCAGAGAGGAGAGAGGCACTCAAAAAGGATTCCTGGAACAATCAATTCATAAAACTACGAACAATAGAAAAACCCTTTCAATTAGATATTTGGGCAAAGGCAGTACTAGGCAGAACTATACTCTTAAAATGTATTTTGTACTTAATAAATATTCTGGTAAAGTGTTATCAATCCTTTACAGTAGTTTCAGTATTTATTGGTTTTTGTAGATGCTTCTCAATTCAGAAGGTATGCTAGTTAATTTTTGTCAACTTCCCATAAACTAGAGTAACACGAGTAGAAGGATCCTCGAGAATGAGACCTCAATGGAACACCCTTCACCTCCCCCCAAAACCTATCTTCTACCCCACCACCCCACCCCGGTCTCATGTAGGCTAGGCTGACCTCTAACTTGCTATGTTAGACGGTTGCCAAGGATGATTGCCTGAGTCAGGCTGGTGTATGGACATGTCTGAGTGTAGGACATTTTCTTGTTTAATGATTGATGTAGGAGGCCCAGGCAATTATGGACACTGCCATCCAAGGACAAGGGGGCCTAGGCTGTATAAAAAAGGTAACTAAGTGGCAAGGCAGTAAGTAGCATTTCTCCATGGTCTCTGCTTCAGTTCTTGCCCTTAACTTCCCTAGACTATGGACCTTTTCTTCTCAAGTTGCTATCACAGCAAAAGGAAAAGGAAATAGGACAAAAGTCAGTACCAGGAATAGGCAGTACTTCTCTGACGAACCAACTATGGTGGCTTTGGGAAGGATTAGGAAAGAATCTTAGAGGATTGTGCTCAAAAACATGGTGGAGTGTGCAGAACTTAATGATCTTGGAAGATAGGAATGTTGAGAAAAGTACAGACAATTGGGGGCTTGGCTTGTGACGTCTCAAAGAGAAGCAAAAACTCTATCAGGGCCATTTGTGTCATATTTTAGATTAAGAGTCTGTAAAGTCTTTGTTTTACAGAGACAATTGAAGCTGGTTAGTGGAGGTTGAACAATCAGCTGTGATTAACAAGAGACCAGCCTCATTCAGCACTCGCAGGGCTTGCCCAGCTTCAAGCTAGAAGAGGGACCAGCCATGAGAGGAGGAAGTAGACATGGCTCCCAGCCCTAACCAAGAGACTATCTGCTGTTGACACTGACTTGCCAAAAAAAAAACAAAAAAAAGTAGTGTTCTCCAAAGGCATCTAATT